GTTCTGACTGTTGACTTGCTCCTACCTCAAGGCAGCTTGAGGTTCTGGGAAGGGCAGGATGATTGGGGTGGTGTTTTGTGAATGAGGACACCTGTGGTTCACCTAGCATTTAACACAGCTTCGTAACTCCTCACCGCATTTGGCTTTCACAGAATTCCTCATTAACATCCTTTCTGTAAACAGATGAGGCTTTGTGTCTTTATCCAGAGGGAATTCAAACAGATTGTGAGCCTTTATCCAGATCACCCAGCCTATGAGTGACATCAAGATTGAATCTTTTACCTCTGATGCTCCATCCGTTGCAATTCTCATGACACCAGTTATGGCCCAGGGGGGCATCCAGGGCAGAGAGAGGCCTCTTACTTCAGGGGCAGCCTGGTTCCTACCCTCAGTTACCATCCCATGATGTCCTGTGACCGCCCAGCCCCTGGGGGCATGCTCAGTAGATATTAGCCATGTAAATTGCTCATGTTTCCCAGGTGGCTCAGTGATAAAGACTCTGCCTGCCAATGCAGGAAGACACAGGAGACGCAGGTTCAACCCCTGAGTCAGAAAGATTCCCTGGAGGAAGAAATGGCCACCCACTCCAGCATTCTTGCCTGGAAAATTCAATGCACAGAGGAGCCTGGCAGGCTACAGTATGTAGGCTCACAAAAAACTGGATGTGACTGAGTGACCATGCTCCTCATACATCATGTAGCCAGAATCTCAAACCACTTCCACCCACCCCCATCCCCACCTAGAAGAGACATGTTTTGGGGATGAATACCTTCATAAATCAATTGAGGGAGAATTTCCAGGGTCTGCTTGAGTAACACTAGTTGCTTTCTAAGGAGGTTGGATTCAATTAACTGGAGGTCAGAGTTTTCTGTTGTTGTTTTGTTTTTGAAAGTACTATTTATCTGGCTGCACCGGATCTTAGTTGCAGTATGTGGGATCTAGTTCCCTGACCAGGAATCAAACCCAGGTCCCCTGCATTGGGAGCACAGAGTTTAGCCACTAGACCATTAGGAAAGTTCGGAGGTCACTGTTGTTCAAATGTTTTGTATGTTAAGTCACAGTTAACAAATACATTTTCATTGTGCACCAGAATACATATATACGTATGCATCATATATATGACAAAAATTTGACAGACAACACTTACGCTCACTACCTGTAATGAATTTTGGATTTTCTATTCCTTTTGGTTTCACAGCCCACACTTTGAAAAACCCTATCTAGGAGCTTTGTTTGCTGGCTGGCTGGCTACCTGGCTGGCAGCTGGAGTGCTCAGGACCACAAAGTGATAAGAACTCCTATAACTAAACCACAAAAACAACCTGGTTTTTAAAATGGGCCTGAACAGACATTTCTCCAAAGAAAATACACAAATGCCCAATAAGCACATGAAAAGATGTTCAACATCACTAATCATTAGGAAAATGCAAATCAAAACTATAATCAGTACCACCTCACAACCATTAGGAAGGCTTTTGTCAAAAACACAGAAAATAACAAATGCTGGTGAAGATGTGGGGAAATTGAAACCCTTGTTGCATTGCTGGTGGGAATATAAAATGGTGGAGCCATTGTAGAAAACGGCACAGTTTCCTCTAAAGAGTAGAGCATTGCCATGTGATCTAGCAACTCCCTTTCTAGGTGAATACCTATGATAATTGAAGGCAACGACTGGGACAGATATTTGTACACCCACACTCAGAGGAATGTTATTCATAATAGCAGAAAGGTAGATGCAACCCAAATGCCACTGACGATTGAGCAAAATGTGATAGGTACATACAATGAAATGTTATTCAGCCTTACAAAGGAAGGAAATTCTGACAAGTGCTACAACATGGATAAACCTTGAATACATTTTGCTAAGTGAAATAAGTCAGTCACAAAGGACAAATGATTCCACTCACAAGAGGTTTCAAGAGTGGTCAACTCTAGAAAATTAGTGTCAAAGAACTGATGCTTTTGAACTGTGATGTTGGAGAAGACTCTTGAGAGTCCCTTTGACTGCAAGGAGATCAAACCAGTCATTCTTAAAGGAAATCAGTCCTGAATATTCATTGGAATGACTGATGCTGAAGCTGAAACTCCAATACTTTGGCCACCTGATGTGAAGAACTGACTCCTTGGAAAAGATCCTGGTGCTAGGAAAGATTGAAGGCAGGAGGAGAAGGGGATGACAGAGGATGAGATGGTTGGATGGCATCACCGACTTGATAGACATGAGTTTGAGCGTGCTCCAGAAGTTGGTGATAGACAGGGAAGCCTGGTGTGCTGCAGTCCACGAGGTTGCAAAGAGTCAGACATGCCTAAGCAACTGAACTGAACTGAGGGTGGCCAAATGCATAGAAACTCAAAGTAGCGTGGTGGTTGCCAGGAAATGTGGGAGGAAGGAATGAGGAGTTAGTGTTTGATGGGTACAGCATTCTGGAGATGATTGGTGATGTCTGTCACACAACAATGTGAATGTATTTAATGCCACTAAACATTACTTAGTGGTTAAAATGACAAAGATTTGTTACATATATTTTACTACAATAAGACAAAGAAAAAAGATAAAAGGATTTTACTTTTCAAATGGGATTTCCAGCTTCTCTAAAATGTGAGAACTTGTGCCCCCAAGTCCCCATTTCCAAAAGACTCAGAAGCCTGGGCCCTTTAGGCAGGGATGAAATGGAGGGGTTTTGTTTTGGAGGTGGGGGGAGCCACCACTGAAAACCTTTAGCCACGCAACTTTGTAGCACATTGCTCTTGGGAAGAACTTGACTCCTTTGAAGTATCCTTCCTGCAGATGTGTGAAAAGGAGACACTAAGTTGTAAATTCTTAAGGTACATTATTTGGGGAAGAAATATCTCTGACCCTACCTGGGTCTCTCCTTTATATTACCTGCCTGCCTCTTGTGGGCACTAGGTTTCTCCAGTCCCAACCACAGCCTGCTTTGCCTCTGGGATGGAGTTCTTTGATTAAAACTGTATGTGTCCCCTTAGTTATCAGCAACTGAAGCAGAGATAAAGCTTTGTGGACACTTCTGATTTCCTCTCTGGGGGGACGGGCCTTTTAATTCCTCTCTTTTAATTCCAAACCAAATGAACTCTCTGGCTGTTGCTTTCTCTACCCCCAGCTGGCTCTGGAAGGAGCAGGGTGCTTCACACCTGCTTTTCCACATCTTCACACTGAGTTGAGCAGCTCAGCCCTGTGGGTGGAGCTTCGGCAGGTGCTAACGGGGCCAGACCCTGAGTCTTCAAACCTGCCAGCTCTTGTACCACATCTCCTTCCACCCCAAGCCTCTGTTCTCATGTTCTTGTCCAAGCCCTCATCCATGAAGTCTCGACCTGGCATTTACCTAAAGCCAGACTCTCCAGCTTTCACCATCACCAGGCTAATCTTTCTAAACCCGGGTTTGGCCAAGTTACATCCCTACTCAAAACCTTTAATGGGTCTCCTTAGCCTCATGTCCCAGCCCTCAGTCTGACATTTCAAATCTTCCCCAACTGAGCTCCGACTTTCTAGACATCGCTCACTCCCACTGCCACTGGAGGCCTGTCTGCTACTGCTGATCCAATCTGTTCTCTGCGCTCAGACCTCCTACACATTCCCAGCACAGTGCCTCTGCCCACAGCGTTCTCCCTGTCTAAACATTCTCACTTTCTCCTCCTGCTTCTCAAAAGTATCTGTCCTTCAATGCCCATCTGTGCTTCTCCCTCCTAGGTTGACCCTTTGCCCAGAGCGTCGCTCCTTCTACTGAAGTCTGCAGTCGCTCAGCCTGTGCCTTCTCCTTTCTCTTATCCCTTCCTATGATGGGTCCAGGTACCTTTCCATGTTTCTGAGCCAGAGTCCTTCTGGAAACCCCAGGGCATTGCTTCGAGTCAGGTATCCCTAACAACTTGATTGATTCTTATCTATTTGGAAAACCCTCTTTCGTGAATACTACCAACTTGCTACCTTTTCCAAGTGGTGGTGATGGTTTAGTCACTAAGTTGTGTGTGACTCTTGCGACCCCATGGACTGTAGCCTGCCATGTTCCTCTGTCCATGGGGTTCTCCAGGCAAGAATACTGGAATGGCTTCTCCAGGGCATCTTCCCGACCCAGAGATAGAACCTGGGTCTCTTACATTGCAAGTGGATTCTTTACCGATTGAGCTACCAGGGAAGTGACCTTCATCTAAAGCATTTGTTGTCACTAATGATGTATCTCAAACCACCCACTACATAGTTTAATGGTTGCAGAGCAATTTATTATAAAAGAGCCCATGGTGAACTTGGGAGGGGGGCGTTTAGGCATTGGATCCCTTCATTTGCTTAGCCTTTTTGTTTAAAATTTTTACTATATATTTATTTGGCCATGTCAGGTCTTAGTTGTGGCATGTGGGATCTTTAATTGCAGTGTATGGGATCTAGTTCCCTGATCTGGGATCGAACCCTGGCCCCCTGCATTGGGAGCTTGGAGTCTTAGCCAGTGGACCACCAGCAAAATCCTCACCTAGCTGTCTTGGAGCTGCTGATTGCTAACAGGCCACCCTGTAGTGTGACTTCCTGTTGACCTGTTGGTCCCCCCCCCCATGACATCATGGGCTTGGGAGGCAGGGCTGGTGTTTGCTTGTTCTCTGTCTCTAGTGCCTACGTAGTGCCTGGCATGTAGTAGATGTTCAGCAAATATTTGTCCAAAGACAGAAAAAGGGACACCCCCTTTCCACATATTAAGTATTTAACCACACCCCCACACCCCCCACCCCCCACCCAAGAAGTCCTTATTTTTCTAAATTTCCTCACCCGCTTCCTGGGCCCTGCAAGTTGCCCCATGCACCCTCCCCTTGCTCACTCTGTCATCTCTAAGTGTCTGGAAGCCCTGATTTGATGCTGCTTGTCTTTAAACCAGGGAGCCCAGACCTGGACACATGACCCCTCAGACTTAACAAATCCCAGCTGGAATGAGGAACAGTGGCATCAGGGTCTGGCAGGGCTGCAGGTTGACAGACACATTTGGCCCCCCAAGCATGCCTACCTCCCCTCCTCCCTCTCATGGTGACGAGGATTCTCCAAGGTGCACACAGGCTCCTGTAGGTGAGGACTGGCGAAGAGAGATTTCCAAGCCCACACGTCCTCTAAGAACACCTCCCATGCCTATGAATACAAAATCAGTTTTGAAATGTCTTCTTCCCCAAGGTCATAAGGAGGGGTTTCTGGGGGTGCTGGCAATGTCCTTGTGCTTGACCTGGGTGCTGGTTACTGCATGTTTGCCTCATAATAATTCATTAAGCTATATACTTTTCTGAATGTGTGTTATAATTCACAATTAAAAAAAAAAAGCACTCCCCCTACCCCAGCCTCAAGCCTTTAATCCAATCAATTCATGTTTAACAAGTGCCTCCAACCCCTGCTAGAGAAGGAGATTTTTGTCCTCAAGGAATTTCCTGGAGGAAGCAAGGTAACTGGAGCATCAGAAGACTGTGAATTATATCTGGAAAATAGGCCATGCTGTCATTTTGAGGAGGAGTCCAGAGGTCAAGGAGGTAGTGGGACTCACACTGGGCCGAAGATGTAGATGTGATTTAGTTAAGTTGAGAGAAGCAGAGGAAGGCTCTTTAGCTGAGGGAACTGTGTGGTCACAAGCTACATGAGTTAGGTAGGGCTGAGCCTGCTGTGTCTGGGGGGAGAGTGAAGAGACCTCGGTATTGAATAGTTTATGGGAGTAAGACTGTCTTGAGAGCTCTAGGTGCTGTCCCCTACCAAGCATAGGCAGGACAGATGCTACTCACAGTGCAAGCCTGCCTCGTGGGACGGGAGAGTCCTGTGCCCTTGTGCAAGAGCAGACATGTATGTTTCATATTTCTTAGCTCCTTTTCATTGTTTTGTTTGAGCCACAGGCTCATGTGAGTTCATAATCCCCATCCCAGACAGACTGGAAGTTACATCAGCCAGATGCATTATACAGGCAGCCGTGTTCCCGTGGAGACACTTGCTCAATCCCTGACTTCTAGCCCTGCCCCACCCTGCAGCTGCTTTCAAGTCCCAGCACCAAGAGACTGATTAGAAGTGGGAGTCCCAGAGGAGGTATCAGAACTCAGGACTGCAGTTTCAGGGACTGTTATAGGCTGTGAGATGACTCCACCTCACCCCCAGCCCAAGAGCCCTGAAATTCCAGGACTTTGCCTCCCGTCATCAAGGATATGGCTGGCCACCTGAGACCACGGGTGAATTGTATGCTGTGAAGCGCTGGGAGGTTCTCAAGCTTCTTGCAGGGCTACTAAGTTTAATACAAGGAAGCAAGACTAGGATGTGTTTCTACTTACTTTTGAGAATGGAAATCAAAGCAGTCATAAGTACTCTGTATATACACAGAGTGACAATGATGAGGCTTAAAGCAGAGGAGAATAGCTAGTTATAAAGTGGTAGCAGTAGTAATAGTGATGCTGATGACGACGGTAACTACCAAGCATGACGATTAACTGTGCGCTTAGCATTATGCTAAACACTCACTTCTTTCATTTAAGCCTCACAGTAATCCTATGATGTGCATGCTATTATTATTTCCATTATACAGATGAGGAAACTGAGCCTTCAAGGCATGAGCTGTTTCCCCAAAGTCATACAAATATTAACTGCGGAACTAGGATCTCAATTCCAGCAATTTTGCTCCAGAGCCCATACTGCGGAAGCCAGTGATGCCCCCTTTAAGCCCTGTCTGGGCTTGGAGAGGATGTCCTCGCTTGTGGACCAGAGCAGGCCAGCGCCTGTGGCCACTGTGCCACTCTTAGAGACCATCTGGCACATTTTGTTTGCCCTGGTTTCTCACTAGACAACTTTTGCATTTGGCTTCCCATGTGACTCACATACAGAGAAAGAGGGCCATGACCTGCCAGCTTGACGGCTGTATTTTTCATTAGTAAATTAGTAAACTGGCTGCCTGGGTTCACACACATATCTGTTTCTGATGGTTTGGTTAAGGTGAGCCCACCCCAGAGTTGAAGCCCACCGTGTGCTAACTTAATTGAGATTCTGAGCATGCAGGCATAGCCCCCAGCCCAGGCCTGTGTGCCAAGGAAATTCCTCTTGGCCTCCTTTTGGCTGGCTTGGCTCCCTTCCCCAGTGACAGCCTGGCTCTTTCTATCCAAGCTGCGAGGTCAGACTGAGAGGGTCGTCTGCAGAAAGAAAGAAGCAACAGTGCCAGGTTCCAGTGGGTGTTCCAAGTTCCACATTCCGCCTGCAGATGCCCGGCGCCAGAGGAAGGCTGGCCCTTCGCAGGGGGGCTGGTAAGGATTTGTCTGGTACATTTTTTCCTCTACACACTTAACCTGCGACTTCCTGCATCTCCCCCTCTCTGTCTTTCATTCACAGTGGCTCTCAAAGCTGATGATCAGCAGGGTTACCCAGAGAACCTTAAAAAAAAAATTTAATGGACTTGTCTTATTTAGGAACAGAGAATGTTTTTCTCTGTTTACAAAAGCGCAGTTTAAGGAAAATTACATCCTAAAATAATGGAGAATGGATGGGCTAAATTATTTTCGTTTTAACTTCCGATGACAGTTTGCAAAGTTGAACCCAAAATCTTGGTCTTTGTCACAAACATGGGTGTGTTTTTCCAACAAGCTTGGTGAGTGGTGCATCTTTCTGGGACAGCATTCTTTTTTTTCTTTCAATTAAAAAAAAAACAGGTAACATAAAGTCTACCCTCTTAACAAAAAACTTAAGTGTACAGTACAGTACTAGCTATATATGCATTGTTTAGCCGATTTCTAGGACTTTTTCATCTTGCATGATTGAGACTCTATACCCATTAAACAGTAACTTCCTAATTCCCCCCCACTTAGCCCCTGGAAACCATCATTATACTTTCTGCTTCTGTGAATTCAGTTACCTAAGATACCTCATTTAAGTGTGATCATGTAGTATTTTTCCTGTGACTGATTTATTACATTGCATATTAATGTCCTCAAGGTTCATCTATGATATAGCATATGACAGAATTTCCTTGTCATATTAAGGCAAAATAATATTTCATTGAATGTATATACAACATTTCCTTTATCCATCCAATCATCAATAGACATTTAAGTTGCTTCTACCTCTTGGTTATTGTGAGTAAAGCTCCAGTGAACATGGAAATGCAAAGATCTCTTTTGCGATCCTGTCTTCAATTCTTTTGGGTAAATATCCAGAGGTGAAATTATTGGATTATATGGGATTCTTTAATCCATTTTGAGTTGATTTCTGTGTAAGATAAGGGTCCAATTTAATTCTTTTGCCTGAGGATATTTAGTTTTCCTAGTACCATTTGTTAAAGAGATTGTCCTTTCCCCATTGTGTAGTCAAGGCACCCTTGTTGAAGATCATTTTATTGTGCTTGTGTGGGTTTATTTCTAGGATCTGTATCCTGTTATATTGGTCTCTCTATCAGTACTATACTGTTTTGATTACTATAGGTTTGTAATATATTTTGAAGTTAGGGGTGTGAAGCCTCCAGCTTTGTTCTCTTTCAAGACTGTTTTTGCTATGAAGGATTCCTTGTGGTTTCATATTAATTTTAGGGTTGTTTTTTCTATTTCTTAAAAAAATGCCATTGGGCATTTGATAGAGATCACATTGAACTTGTAGATCAATTTGAGTAGTATGAACAGTATTAAGTCTTCTAATGAACATAGATTATCTTTCCATTTATTTGTGTCATTAAATTCTTCCAACAGTAATTTGTAGTTTTTAGTGTTCAAGTGTTTAGGTTCTTTGGTTTAATTTAGTCACGGTATTTTGTTCTTTTTGATGACATTGTAATTGGAATTGTTTTCTTAATTTTCTTTTTGGATTATTCATTTTAATATTATAGAAACAATTGATTTTTGTATGTTGATCTTATATGTTTCCAATTTTGATGTCTTTCTCTTGTCTAATTGCTGTAACTAGGACTTCCAATTCTATGTTGAATAAAAGTGGCAAGAGTGGGCATCCTTGCCTTATTCCTGATGTTAGAAAAATAGCTTTCAGTTTTTCACCATTGAGTATGAATGATGTTGTATGCTAAGTCGACTCAGTCATGTCCGACTCTTTGCGACCCCATGAACCATGGCCCTCCAGGCTTCTCTGTCCATGGGATTCTCTAGGCAAGAATATTGGAATGGGTTGCCATTTCCTTCTCCAGGGGATTTTCCCGACCCAGGGATTGAACTCATGTCCGTTATGTCCCCTGCATTACAGGCAGGTTCTTTACCACTGGTGCCACCTGGGAAGCCAAGTGAATGATGTTAGTTGTGCACGTTTCACATATGACCTGCATTATATTGAGGTAATTTCATTCTATTCCCACTTTGCTGGTTATTTTTTTTATCATGAAAGGGTGTCTAACTTTCTCAAATGCCTTTTCTGCATCTACTGAAATGATCATATGATTTTATCTTTCATTCTATTAATGTGGTATATTGCACTGATTGATTTTTGCATGTTGAATGATCATTTGTATCATCATTGATTTTTATATGTTGAACCATCCTTGCATTCTAGGGATAAATCCCACTTGGTCATAGTGTATAATTCTTCTAACGTGCTCTTGAATTTAGTTTGCTAATATTTTGTTGAGGATTTTTACATCTGTGTTCATCAAGGATATTGGGCTTCAGTTTTCTTTTCTTGTAGTGTCTTTGGCTTTGTTATCAGGGTAATTATTGTTGTTCAGTTGCCCAGTCATGTCCAACACTTTGTGACCCCATGGACTGCAGCACACCAGGCTTCTCTGTCCTTCACCATCTCCCCAAGCTTCCTCAAACTCATGTCCCTTGAGTCAGTGATGCCATCCAACCATCTCATCCTCTATCATCTCCTCCTCCTCCTGCCTTCAATCTTTCCCACCTTCAGGGTCTTTTCCAGTGAGTCAGTTCGTCTCATCAGGTGGCCAAAATATTGGAGGCTTCAGTCCTTCCAATGAATATTCAGGGTTGATTTTCTTTAGGATTGACCAGTTGGATCTCATTGCAGTCCAAGGGACTCTCAAGAGTCTTCTCTAACACCACAGTTCAAAAGCATCAATTGTTTGGTGCTCAGCTTTCTTTATGATGGTCCAGCTCTCACATCCATACATGACTACTGGAAAAGCCATAGCTTTGACTATATGGACCTTTGTTGGCAAAGTGCTTTTTAATATGCTGTCTAGGTGTGTCATAGCTTTTCTTCCTAGGAGCAAGCGTCTTTTAATTTCATGGTTGCAGTCACTGTCTGCAGTGATTTTGGAGTCCCAGAAAAAATGCTGACCTCTTAAAGTGAATTTGGAGGTGCTCCCTCCTCTTCCATTTTTTGGAAGAGTTTGCAAGGAGTTGACATTAATTTTTTAATTTTTTTTTTGAAGGGTTCTCCTTTGAAGTTATCTGGTCCTGGGGTTTTTTCATTGGGAGGTTTTTATTACTGATTCAGTCTCCTTACTTGTTATAGCTATGTTCACGTTTTCTATTTATATTTAGTCTTGGTAGGTTGTATGTATCTCAGAATTTATCCATTTCTTTTAGGTTTTCCAATTTGTTGGTATATGGTTGTTCATAGTAATCTCTTATAATCCTTTTTATTTCTGTGGCACCCCTAGTAATGTCTCCTCTTTCATTTTTTATTTTATTTGAGTCTTCTCTTTTTTTCTTAGTCTAACTAAAGGTTGTCAGTTTTATCATTTCAAAAGCTCTTAGTTTTATTGATTCCCCCCCCCCCCCCATTTTCTATTTCATTTATTTTTGCCCTAATTTTTATTATTTCCTTCTGCTAACTTTGGGCTTAGTTTTTGTTTTCCTAGTTCCTTAAATGTATAAAATTAGGCTGCTTATTTGAAATTTTTCTTCTTTTTTAAAAAAAATATTCATTTTATTTTTGGCTGTGCTGGGTCTTTGTTGCTGTGAGCAGGCTTTCTCTAGTTGCAGTGTGCAGGCTTCTCATTGTGTTGGCTTCTCTGGTTGTGGAGCACAGTCTCCAGAGAGTGCAGACTTCAGTAGTTATAGTGCACTGGCTTAAGTCATCATGAGGCATGTGGAATCTTCCTGAACCAGGGATTAAACCTGTGTCTCCTGCATTGACAGGCAGTTTCTTAACCATTGGGCCACTAGGGCAGTCCTTTCTTCTTTTTAATTGTAGGCTTGTAACACTATAAACTTCTTTCTCAACACTTTGCTACACTTCTTTGCTACATCCCAAGTTTTGGTATGTTGTATTTCATTTTTGTTTGTCTCAAGATATTTTCTAATTTCCCTTTTGATGTCTTCTTTGAGCTATTGGTTGTTCAAGGGCATTTTAATTTCCACATATTTGTGAAATGTCCATTTTTCCTTCTGCTACTGATTTCTAGTTTCATTCCATTGTGGTCAGAAATGATGCTTGGTATGATTTCAGTCTTCTTCAGTTTGTTAAGACTTGGTTTGTGACCTAACATGTAATCTATGCTGGAGAATGTTAAAATTGTGCTTGAGAAAAATGTGTATTTTGCTGCTGTTTGTGGAATATTTTGCTATGTCTGTTAGGTCTGTTTGATCTATATCATTGTTAAAGTCCTCTGTTTCCTTGTTGATCTTCTCTCTGGATATTTTATTCATTATTGAAAATGAGATATTGAACTCTCTTACTATTATTGTATTTCCGTCTGTTACTCTTCAATGTTTACTTCATGTATTTGGGTAGTCTGATGTTGGGTACATATCTATTTATAGTTATTATATCTTCTTGTTGAATTGACCTTTATTATTATAAAATGTCTTTCTTTTACTCTTATGACAGTTTTTTACATGAAGTGTATTTTATGTAACTTAAGTACAGCCATTCCTGCTCCCTTTTGGTTACCATTTGCACAGACTATCTCTATCTTTTCACTTGAAAGTAAAAGGATATGTGTTTCACAGCCTATGTGTGTTCTTAAAGTGAGTCTCTTGTAGACAGCATATGATTGGATCCTGTTTTGTTTTTAATTTCATTTAGCCACTCTATAGCTTTTGATTATGGAGTTTAATCTATTTACGTTTAAAATAATTGCTTATAAAAGAAAGATGTGCTATTTCCAGTTTGTTCATTGTTTTCTGTCTGTCTTCTAGCATTTTTTGTCCCTCTCTTGCTGTCTCCGTGTTTCACTGATTTGTTTTAGAGACGTGATTTGGTTACTTTGTCAGTTTTGTTTGTGAATCTGGATGTCCATTGCCTTCCTTAGACCTGGGGAGTCTGGAGTCATTCTTTCTTCAAATAAGCTTTCTGCTCCTTTCTTTCTTTATCCTCACCTTCTGGACTTCCACAGTGCATATATTAATCCATTTGATGGTGTTCCATATGTCCCTAGACTTTCTTCACTTAAAAAAAAAATTGCTTTTCCAACCATAATGGATAATTTCAAATGGCCTATCTTTGAATTTGCTGATTATTTATTCTCCGTAATCAAGTCTGTTGTTGAACACCTCTAGTGAATTTTACAATTCAGCTATTATATTCTTTAGCTTCAAATTTTCTGTTAGGTTCTTTTTAATATTTCCTGGCTCTTTATTGCTATTCTTATTTTTTCATATGTCATTTTAAAATTTTCATGTATCATTTTCCTGGGCTCATTAAGCATCCAAGAGAGTCTTTTTTTTCTTTTCCATTATGGTCTATTACAGAATATTGAATATAGTTGCCTATGCTATACAATAGGACCTTGTTGTTTAACCATGCTATATATAATAGTTTGCATCTGCTAGTCCCAAACTCCCAATCCAGCCCTCCCCGGCATCCCATCCACCTTAGCAGCCACAAATTTGTTCTCTATGTCTGTGAGTTTGTTTCTTTTTTGTAGATAAGTTCATTTGTGTCATATTTTAGATTCCACAGATAAGTTATATATATGATATTTGTCTTTCTCTTTCTGACTTACTTTGCTTAGCATGATAATTTCTAAGTCCATCCATATAGCTGCAAATGCATTATTTCATTCTTTTTTATGACTAATATTCCATTGTATGTATGTGTGTGTGAATATATATATACCACATCTTTTTTCCAGGCATCTGTTCATGGACATTTAGATTGTTTCCATGTCTTGGCTTTTGTGAATAATGCTGAAATGAACATAGAGTTGCAGGTATCTTTTCACATTACAGTTTTGTTTGGATGTATGCCCAGGAGTGGGATTGCTGGATCATCTGGCAACTCTAGGTTTTTAAAAACCTCCATACTGTTCTCCACGGTGACTGCACTGATTTACAGTCCCACCAACAGTGTAGGAGGTTCCCAGAGAGACTTAAAGATATGGATTCCCACCCAGACCCTACTGGCAGAGATTGTAATTCAGTATTCTGGAGTGGGGCCTGGAAAGCTGTATTCCTGAAAGGTCCACAGGTGATTTATATGTACATCTAGGTTTGGAAACCACTTCCAGTTAAAGGATTACCATCAAGCTCTCCCAACTCCAGTTCTCTCCAGGATGCCACCATCTGCCCACATGTATTGTGTCTCTTCGTATGATTTGAGGCACTAAAGATACTTCTTTTTCTAGGGAACCTTCCTGGATTGAATCCTGTTTAACCACAAGTTTCTTATGACTGCCCCAGCCCTCACCAACCTGAAATGGGCCTACACTTTCCATTTTTGTATTAATTTGACCTTTCCATTCTTTCCACTTGTTATCTGTGACTGAGCCATTGCTGGCTAGAAATATTTTGTCTTGATCACCTCATATTATTTGATGACAAAAAGGTGGTGAGTGTAGTAGAAATGGAACTCTGGGAACCCAAGTTTGAGTCTGATTCTACCAGGGTATGACCTTGGACAAGTTGCTTTCCCTGTCTGAACTTCAGTTTCCTCATCTGTGAGATGAGTTGTGAATAAATGGTCTCCGTGATCCTTCCCTTTGGACCCTAAATCTATCCTTCCTCCCCTTGGATCCTGACTCTATCCTTCCTCCCCTCATACACTCCACAGCTCAGAAAGTGGAGCTCCGGAAACACACCTGGAATTCTGCCCAAAGTCAGAGAAACCAGAGGGCCCACCAGTTCTCCCTCTTACCTCCCTTTCCAGGAGCAGCCATGGCCCTAAGTGATTTCGATGTGCAAAAGCAGATTAAGCACATGATGGCTTTCATTGAGCAGGAAGCCAATGAGAAGGCAGAAGAAATAGATGCCAAGGCTGAGGAAGAGTTCAACATTGAGAAAGGACGCCTTGTGCAAACCCAACGACTGAAGATTATAGAGTATTATGAGAAGAAAGAGAAGCAGATAGAGCAGCAGAAGAAAATCCAGATGTCTGCCTTGAGGAATCAGGCAAGGCTGAAAGTCCTGCAAGCCCGAAATGACCTCATCTCAGAGTTGCTGAATGATGCAAAGCTGAGACTCAGCCAGATGGTGACAGACCGAAAATTTTACCAGGGGCTCCTGGATAAACTAGTGCTCCAGGGTCTGCTCCGACTGCTGGAGGCTGTGATGATTGTACGCTGCAGGCCACAGGACCACCTCCTGGTGGAGGCTGCAGTGCAAAGAGCCATCCCCCAGTACACCACAGTCTCCCACAGATGTGTGGAAGTTCAAGTTGACAAAGAGGTGCAACTGGCTACAGACACAATTGGAGGTGTGGAGGTCTACAGTAGCGATCAGAGAATAATGGTTTCTAATACTCTGGAAAGTCGACTGGATCTCTTAGCCCAGCAAAAGATGCCAGAAATACGAAAGGCCTTGTTTGGAGCCAATGACAGCAGGAAGTTTTTTGTATAAGCCTCTGGAAACTGAAGCTCCTGTTGAACTTCTAAGCCATAAAAGTATAACTCATTAGGGCAAAGCAAACTGGTAATATCTCCTCCTCTGTTTTGCTCTGGGATTAGTCTGTCTTTATAAAATACTCTCTGACTAGCTAAAGGCATTATACTTTGGAATAAAGCCCGACTTAATGCTTATAAATCTAATTGCATTTTATCTATACATTCTAGAGCTCCTGGTCAATTCTACAGTCTGGGCTGAAAGAAGTAGAGACATCTACATGGTCGCAAAGAGGGGGACACGACTGAAGCGACTTAGCATGCACGCCCACACAAAACTCTTTTCTTGTGTAGAGGGTCAACTTCATGGGTGTATGATGAGTGCAGTCACACAGAGCTCCATGCTCAGAATTGCCCAGCAGCTGGGGTCTACGACAGAGGATGAGATGGTTGGATGGCATCACCGACTCAATGGACATGAGTTTGCATAAGCTCCAGGAGTTGGTGATGGACAGGGAAGCCTGGCGTGCTGCACTCCATGGTGTTGCAAAGGGTCGGACACAACTGAGTGACCGAACTGAACTGAAGTGGGGTCTAATGCTCTGTAGCTAACCGTCTTGAAGTTCTTCATTTTATCTTTGTATGTGTGATTTATAAGTGAAGTCCTAACTCTTGAAGTCTACGCATCTCTCTGGGATGGGTTCTTGACCACCCACTTCTCAGCTCCCTGGTACTCCAAGATCCTGCCTTCCTCTCCCTCAACCAGTGAACACTAGTGCCCTCTGCCCCTGGTTAGGGCCCAGTGTATGCAGGGAAGGTCTGTATCCTTCACAGAAGCTTAGAGCTGGACATAACAGTGGCCATCTCTGCCCCAGGTTGGCAGCTCCATGGCACATCCAGCAGGCAACTTGGTGAGCGTGGGTTTCTTACCCACCAGATACCGAGCACATCTCAGTGTGGAGGTAATGACCCTGAGATTCACCTGCCTACTGTGAATTGGATCAGCCAGCTTATTGGAATGGGAGATGCGTGGCTTGACTTCCCTGATGCTTGGCACAACACATATATCTGGGGACTGGTGGGAAGGAGGGCATAACATTTGTTAGGGTTGCTGGACCTGAGTCTCAGGGTGGGACTTTGAGAAGCTTATGAGGGTCTGTACTTGCCTTGTAAAGTGTCCTGTGCCTGGTGGAGTCCTCCATTAGACAACTCAGTGCATGGGGGAACTTGGGCTCATCTCATCTCTTGTTGCCAGTTGGATGCATCTTCTGGAAGAAGCCAAGAAATACAGTCATTTTGGTGATTCTCTAAATGGGCATTGCACAATATAAAGATAAATGATAAGATTCATGCTAAGTATTTTATACTGTAATTTTTATTTACCCAGACATTAAATAGCAAATAAACACCATGACAAGCTGAAAGAGAGACTGGAGAAATAAGTAAAAAGCTTTATAAGTATTTCTGTGCCTTTAACTGTACTTTGGGCTTCTCTGATAGCTCAGTTGGTAAAGAATCCGCCTGCAATGCAGGAGACCCTGGTTAAATTTCTGCATTGGGAAGATCCACTGGAGAATGAATAGGCTACCCACTCCAGTATTCTTGGGCTTCCCGTGTGGCTCAGCTGGTAAAGAATCTGCCAGCAATGCGGGAGACCTGGGTTCGATCCCTGGATTGGGAAGATTCCCTGGAGAAGGGAAAGGCTACCCACTCCAGTAGCATGGCCTGGAGAATTCCATGGACTATAGTCCATGGATTTGCAAAGAGTCAGACACAACTGATCGACTTGCTCACTCAACTGTAATTTAAAATAAAAAAAGTTTTTAACTTATTTTTTGTCTGTGGTATATCTTCATTGCTGCATTTGAGGGCTGCTTTCTAGTTGCAGTACACGGGCTTCAGTAGTTGAAGCGTACAGGCTCAAGCACACAGGCTCAATAGTTGTAGCATGTGGGCTTAGTTGCCCCGTGGCATGTGAGATCTTCCCAGACCAGGGATCGAACCCATGTCTCCTTCATTGCAAGGTGGATTCTTAACTGGACCACCAGGGAAGCCCTATACTTTTGAACAAAGGATCCCACAGTTTCATTTTACGTTAGGCCCCATAAATTATGCAGCTGGTTCTGCCTGTGTATGGTGATTTAAAGTCTAATTTATGCCTGAGTATGATTTTTGTATTAAAATAGAAGTTTTTTGAAGAAAAGAACCCTCAAGATATTCTACCAAGGGCAAAACTTGGCTTGTGTGGTCAGGAATTTGTAAGTAACAGAAATCCCTTGAAACTCAAAAACAGAATAGGAGGCAGGCTATCCATAAACAGGGTCACCTCACAGAAGCTTGGGACAGGCATCTGTCATAGTCTCAGGGGACGGCAAAACTGAGTATCAGAAAGCTTTATGAAGTCCTCTAGATGGTTACTTCATTCTCCTTTTTAAAAGAATGACATTTTACCGTCCATTTTAGGTGGTAGAGTTTGCATTCCCCATATACTTTATATCCCAGACTCTACATGATGTGGGCTTCCCTGGTGGCTCAGTGGTAAAGAATCTGCCTGCAATGCAGGAGATGCAGGTTTGATCTCTGGTTCAGGAAGATCCCTGCAGAAGGGCATGGCAACCGCTCCAGTATTCTTGCCTGGAGCACCTCCATGGACAGAGAAGCCTGGAGGGATCCATGGGGTCGCAAAAAGTCAGACACGACTCAGCAACTAAGCATGCATGCACTACATGTTGTAGTTTCAGAAACAAATTTGCTTTTCTTAGAGTCACTTCCTCTTTTCTGAGAAGGAGTCCGTTTGGCCCAGCTCAGATCAGATGTCCATCTCCAGTCCAGTTGATGTCTGGGGTCAGTTCTATGAAAAAAGGGTGTCTTTGTTAGCTGGACAGACTCCTTAAAAGATGTCATCTTTGTGGGCCCTTTTGAATTGCAAACTCAGTCATTCATTGAAAATTTTCTGAATGCCAGGAATGAGCCAGGCACTGCGCTGGCTGCTCGGCTGCAAAGAATACCATCTGGCCCTGTTCTTTCATTAGTTACAGACACGTTCACAGATGATAACTTGGTGATGAAACAATGCAGCAGTGCCGTATACAGCATGCTGTGGAAATACAGTAGTAGGTGGAAGGAAAGGGTCACAGAAGGCTCTGGGGTGTTGGCAGTTGAACTGGGGAAAAGAACTTCAGGTAAAGGTGGGAGTGATGGGTGGGGAGAGCATTTGGAAAGTCCCTGACATGTGTAAAAGCAAATTGTGTTTGAGGACCTGTGTGTAGTTCAGTGTGATCGAGTGTGGGAGTGACAGGAAGTGACATGGATGAGGCTGAAAAGATGGACGGAGCCTGATTACATGGTGCTGTGTGCCCTGCTCAGGAATTAGATGAATTCGGGTAGGGGAGGCAGGGTGTAGGTGATGAGGGGTCATTGAAGGACTTTATTTATTTTAAATATTTGACCGAGCTGCGTGGCATGCGGGATCTTAGTTCCCTCACCAGGCATTGAACCCACACCCCCTGCACTGGAAGGGTCTTAACCACTGGTCCGCCAGGGAAATCCCAGAGAGCTGGACTTTCAAAAGATTCTTCTAGCGCCACAGTATGTGGAGGACACACTGGAGAAAGGGAGAGACTGCAGGCAGGGGCCCCATTGGAAACTGTTCATCAGCCCAGGTGAGAGATGGCAAATAATCTCCGCATCTTTTTGGTGAGGTAGCTTAAATTCTTTGATACACAGGCTGGAAGAGGTCAGAGTCAGTGACCTGTGTCCTACCCATTCTCACCCCGCTTCCTTCCATCCCAATAAATCCTTTCACTTGTCCAGGGCTTGAGACTTTCCATCACAGTTTCACACCATCTGACAAGTCCCACTGGACACCACCCCCCCAAGTCCACCCCCTTCTCTCCCAGCCATCATTCCAGGCCCAGCAAAGAAAGCATTCCCTTCCCAGCTGCCTGAGCCCCCAGCCACCTCCCCTTCTGGGGACTCTAACCCCGCTTCAAGCTCTATAACCCAGGAGTATCTGATCCCCCTGGCCAACCCCAGTTCTGACCTTCTGAGTTGGACTCAATCTATTATTGGGGCTCCAGCGATCATCCATGTCCCCCAGATTGACATGAATTCATCTCCTCTGCAAACTCGTTTTAATGAAAGGTTTTGGGGAAAGTCGAGAGCTTTACAAAGTTTCTCCCTGTCCCACTTCAATGTCTCTCTGTTTTCCAAAATGTCTCTTCCAGAGCTGCCTGATTCTCTCTCTCTCCCCCGCCTCCTTCTCAACCTCTCAACGTGTGTGTTCCAGTCTACACCGTCATAATATTCCCCTCCACAAAACAAAAACCGGTGGTGGACCAAGCCTGCCCTCCCAGCCCCTGGTTGCCAGGAACCACAGCCCCGGTTGATGAGATCTTTCCCCTCATTGCCTTTATTTCCGGTCAGCAGCTTTGTCTGCTTGGCCCACCATCTTTTTCAACACAGCTCTTTGTGGGCAGGACTGTGTCTTCATCCTTCTCTGTGGTCCTTGCTGCCCTGTTGTTTTATTGCTGACACTGGGGGTGCACATTGTAGGGTCTGAACAGACATTTATGCTTGTCACAGTCTTCTGCCCTGGCCTGGCGCTGGTCTCTGGATGGAGGCTTCCAGCATCTGTCTCTTCTTCAACTATGGATTGTGCCATTGAAAGGGGTGCTTAGTTGAGGTGTGGGCCGGGCAAGGCTCCCCACCCAGTAACACAGGGATGGTGTTTGATAAGAGAATCCCTCTCTCCTGCTCCTGGTGGGGAAGGCTGTAGATGCGTGGAGACTGAACTCAATCAGGACTCACTTCAGTCAGGGTTGCTTCCTTCTGGACAAATCTGGGTTTTATTGCGTCCCTTCCCTCCCTGGGAAACAAACAGGGGGAGGGGCTTGCTTTGGACCTGGGTGCGAAGGTAGGGGGCTGTGGATGAGCTAGGTCCTCCGCCATGAAGGGGCACCTTTCTGTAGCCCCCAAGCCTGCCCTTGACCTGCGGGGGTGGGTTGCTGGTCAACATCCTGTCTTTCCCGCAGCTGCACTGCTGTCCAGATCTTTGCTTTAGAAATGTTTGCACTGGGCACTTTGTTGGATACCTGCTACAAACTGATACACATTATTAGCGTTAACCATCTTACCCTCAAGAAGGCGTGTTCCATGTATAAGTTCCTCAGTGCCTGTGAGCCAGAAGGAGCAAACTGTTACAACCG